CAAAGTTCAAAACATAAAAATTTCCAAAAGTGTCCACACTTTTCGCCACCACTGTATTAAAGTAACAGGTTCGAGGAAAATTGCTATTGGAAGAATAAAAGAGTTTTATGTAAAACAAATAAAAATCACAGAGGTTCTCTTCATCTAAAAACAAAGGATTTATGGAACTAATTAAAATTACAAATAAGATGAAAAGTATGAACAATATTGACTTTAAACAGGTTTCTAACGGACATGGCAGGTTTTCGTTCTTTCTCAACCAATTTAATCTGCAGGAAAATAAACTATGTGATAGTTATCAAGTTGATGGTGACGCTAGGCATGTCGTGGTTGATTGTGTTTTAACAGCCTGTATAAGACAGATTTTTAACATTACTGATTTTAATACAAATACAATTAATTGTAAAGTTTTTAAATCATATACCACTGCTCTAATGAAGTTTATTAACGGGGGCTTGTTGGAATCATCTGTTAAAACTGAATTCTGTATTTATATGGGGTTTTAAATATCTGTGGTGTGATTTTGTGTTTGTGGTTTTTGTTTGTAGTTTTGTGTTGGATGCGCTTCCTAATTTTTAATTTAGTTTTTTTATTTATTGTTGGGGGGGTGAGTAGCTGGCTGTCCTCGTTTGTGGAAAGACGGGGCCCCTTCTTTTGAGCTATAGGGTGTGTGTGTGGTTATGGCAAAGCCTCGAGGGCTATCTGCCTAATGGGAGGGATGGCCTTCGTGGAGAACTTTCTAAGGGAACTGGCACGAATACACGTTACACATAGGGAAAACCACGAAAACGCCCATGCAGCCAGCCCGTTTGCGGGATTCGAACCTCGGACCGAACTACCAGTGTTCAGCCACTGGTGGGCTTGAGCTATAGGGACACTCGTGTCGAGGTGGGCTGAAGGGAGTCTCCAATTCTTAAATCCTTACAATGCGAATTACATTCCTAATCAAATGAAATAAGCTCTTGAAATATTTTTCTCCCTGGTACCTTGCAAATGAAAGAAATGTGTCAATACATGAAATGTTTTCCCAATAGTATCAAGAAAATCAAACAAAATACTTAAATGTGTCAACGCAGCACATAATTTCGAATTGTAATGTAAATTTCGGAAACAAGCCAGGATTAATTCTTTACTTTCTTCTTCCATTCAACTAATAATTTCTCTCGCCTTCTTAGCATGGTTTCGTGGTGTAATGGTCAGTACACTCGGCGCGTATTTGGCGGTTCGAGTCCCGGCGAGGACATTACACATTTCTTCAATTTACTGATTCAAAAATTCTACATGACTCTACAGTGGCGCTCGAATTAAAAAAAAGTGGTGAATGATGATTCTTCACCACCAGGATTTGGCGATTGGATCCCCTAATCCCCGGTCATCCTTTCAAAGGGGGAGTATGTTAGGTATTTCTCCCGCCTTCTTAGCATGCCTCCGTGGTGTAATGGTCAGCATACTAGGCGCGTATTCGAGAGGTCTGAGCCCAGGCGACGGCATTGCTCATTTCTCCAGTTTCCTGACATGGAAAAATTTCTAACAGACGCTACACTCTCGCGTAACAATTATCTTACTTAAAAGAAACATTGATTAAATCGGGGCAAACACAATGTATAGCAGAAATTATGCGTCATGTAATTGAAACATTTTATTATTAACATAAACATGAATGAATAAAAACAGAGATAAAGCTAGATGTATGTGTATGAGGCAAATGAATGAGAAACGTATGAACTGACCTTTACTGAAATTATGTAAATCGTAGACTATGATAGTAAAAATATAGATAAAGTATATATCACAAAATATACATATTGTTAAATATACAATAGTGAATTTTAGAGAACAAATTCAAGCAAATGCAAATTTTGAATAAAATAAATGAAGAAAGTCAAAACTTTATTAGTATATACATGCGTAGGAATTTATGCAAGCATAACAATCAATGCATAAAGTACAATACAAATTCAAACGAAAGTACATTTTCAATAAAAATAATTCATGAAAATCAGAAATTTACTAGTGTACACATGCGCAGCAATTAATGCAAGCTTAAAAATAAATGTTTAAAGTACAATAAAGTAAAATTGTTTCGTTCGCGAATTTCCTTGCTGGAATTGGCATTTTATTATTATTATCATTATTATCTTGGAGTTGCGATTATCTTTAACTTCATTTCGTATCCAGATGCAGAATAGTCGTCTTCTTTAGGGAAAGACAAACGAAAATTTTTCACTATATTTATCATATAAAGGAAAACTAGAGTCACACTGTATGTTTCTCCTATACATGAACGTTTACCTAAAAGCAAATGAAGAAAATTAAAGAAAGCGAATTAGCAGTAATTTTGCATTAAAAAATACTGAAAATTTATTATATTAAATTGCACATCATTTTGGTCAAACTCAATATGTATATACATAAATCAAATACTCAAAATTTGGAACGAAAAAAAATTTCCCAATCTTATATATTTAATTATTTGCACATTATGAGCGCGAAGGGAAAAAACTAAATTTTACGAGACTTTTAAAAATAAATTTGGTTTAAAAAGAAAGTTGGATAAATAAAGCTGTTTAAAGTCAGGGAATTTAGTGGAACGAAACGTGTTTTTTGTCACACATTAATCAACTTGGTTTACGAATTGAAAAAACTTTTCCCTTGACAAGTTCTGTTTGCAGAAGTAAGGAGATTTTTAAAATTTTTTTATTGTTTTGTTTTTAATATGTAAAAATTTCCCGTTTTTATTTTTTTCATGTTTGAAGCTAACATTTTTTTATCACAATTCTGTAATTTTCTTTAATTTGCGTTTTGCCAGGTTATAGTACTGTAACATGCACAAAATAGGATTAACCTTTAAATATTTAAAACGGCATTTTTGTGTCGATTTTTGAGTATTTGATTTATTATATATATATGTTACGGTGAAAACCGAAATCTGGAGAATGTCGACTTTCACCGGTGAATGTCAACATTCATATAGTCGCTTGGTGTATATCCGAAATATTTTCCAAATACTCTTATTTCTGACTTACACCGGTGAATGTCAACATTCACCATGTACTAATGGTGAATGTTGAACATATAAGAATATTATATTTTCTTCTCCGTAATTCAATAGCGAAAAAACGTACTAGAGACTTCAAATAAGAACATAAGAACTTAAAACACACAGTGCATTCAAAATGAGAAAGGAAAATAGTAGAAGTTAAAAACTTACTAAACTATGTGATTCGAAATCTTATTTATTGCAACAACTTAAACTGTTATGAAACTTTGAATTGCACAAGTGGCCCTTGCTTTTACATCTACATTTATTTGTGGAACACTTCCTTTTGCAGTGACAGCTTGTACATATACTCCTCTCTTTTCGACCTACCCCAGAGCATATCTGTGATGTCGACATACACCGGTGAGCGTCCGAATGTACAAGAATGTAATGCAATATTCGATCTTTCACCAATTATTTGGTGAATGTTGACATTCTCCGGTGAAAGTCGACATTCTCCAATTTCGGTCTTTCACGGTAACATATATATTAAATATATATGTTTTAAATACATATGAAATATTTAATATATAAATATATAAAAATTAAATATATATGTGTTTTTTCTCTTGGTCATTCTTAAAGCCTTTAAACAATTTTCAGAGTACCATCAAAGAAGACATTCCGCTATTGGAATTAACATTAATGAACTTGTCATACTTTCATTTCCTTCTTCTGTCAGTTATAAAATTGCACGGATTCTCTAGAACAGCGGTGCCCAACCTTGTGCTCGGTGATCGTTTTGTATGAGCTCGCCAGCCCGATTAGGTACTATGAACAAAAAATATTTTAAAAATAACCATTCATTTTTATTTCTTAATTGTTAAAATATGGTAAGCATTTACAGTCATAAGAGATATCTTGCAAGACACTATAAAATAATTCATTGCTGATTGACGAACGTGACAGCGAACATGGAATCTTTTTGCTTCCTTCCGATGTTAGATGGCTCAGCAGGGGAAAAGTACTTCAACGATTTGTAGAACTTCTTTCGCCAATAAAGCAGTTTTTGGAATCCCGAAACGAAAGTTATAAAGATTTGGACCATAATAATTGGTTATCCGAGTTGTATTTTCTCGCGGATATAACAGCTAAACTGAAAAACCTGAACGAAGATCTCCAGGGAAAAGAAAAAATCCCTTTTTCAATTGACTGGGACTGTAACTGCTTTTCAAATAAAGTTAAATTTGTGGACAAATCAGATGAAAGCAAAAAATTTCACCTTTTTTCAGAATTTATCAAGCCATATTAATAATCAAGGCAATTGAAGAGTCATATTATTATCAAGGCAATTGAAACAGAGAAATACTCGGAAAACCAAAATGCACTGAAAAATATTTTGAACTCGGTTTCTCCGATTTCCATAAAGTTCAACCAATATTATTATTCATCTCAAACCCATTTGCCGAAATTAATATTTCAGGTGTATCACATAAGATTGGAAATATGTTTAACAAAAATGTTGATGTTTTGGAAATGTGCTCGCGAGAGGCCAAAGGTTGGGCACCGCTGCTCTAGAAGTTCAACTTTCAATTCATTTTCTCGCCTATCAATAAAATCCATGGTTCGACTCTTAAATATTTCACTTCTGACTTAAATTCTCGGAGAATTTATAGCAAATCATATCAGATGTATCGCCAAACTAAAAGAGCGTTAAAGTTTCGTGGAACACGAATTTTATTCCAAAAAACGAAATTAACAAACCTTCGACAGCTAATCATAGTTGGATATTTAATCATAATTTTGATTTTGGTGTCCGCAAGAATTATTCAAAATGTTTCTTCAATTGGCAAATTAAATTTTCTTGAAAATTTTCACATTCATCTTGTTTAGCTAAAGACTTTAAGTCCAATCCAATCCTTCCTAACGCTTTTAAAATTCTCTTAACTCTTAATTTTTCAACTTCGTTACTATTTTTACCGACAGATGGCGCTATCGTCTCGTTCGCTTTACTGCCGTAGGTATAAATACGACATCTGTGCCCGCTGCTTTCCAGTGTTGCAGATTTCTTTGATCATGATGAAGAGGGACCTATACGCGTTTGCCATCGAAATCCTATCAAGATCTTGACTAAATCTACGTCAAATACAAAACTGTTGTTTTGCAGATTTTATGTAGCAGTGATTATGTTTTATTTAGTTGCACTTTTAAAACTTGTAGTTGTTATACAACAAGACTTACTAAATATTTTAGTTCATAGTACGTACAAGATACAGTGTCAATTAACTATTGGAAAGGTTCGCATCTTGTGTTAAGATACGAATTCTTCAGAAACACAAAAGTTTAAGCATGTAGTTCTTGAGAAAAAATAACTTACTCAGTTGAATAGTAAGATGTATTAATAATTACATTGAACTTCTTAATTTTTTTTACTAGGTCATAAAATTAAAAGGTAATAAGATTAAAATACGACAAAAGCTTTGTTTTTCAATTTAATCATTTAATCAAACAGAAGGGGGAAAAATATCTTACCTATTCCGAAGGTTAGTGGAAGTTCTGCTCTGGGCTTTCCTGATGAGGTTAAGTATCTTGATGGATCGAACTTGAATGGGTCTTCGAATATTTCTGGATCATGGTGAGCTGAGTAGAAATTTGTGACAGTTATGGATCCCTTGGGAATTCGATAGCCCCTCAAATTTACTTCCTCTAAATGGTAAACAAATATTCGATGTTTATGAAATGTGATTTATTAATTCAACAAATAAATAAATTAAAAAATTTTAAGCTTGTATATTTTAATATCTTAACTTCAAAAAGCATATTTCATCTATCCAAATATTTTTATGTCGCAAACAGCACACTTAAATTTTATTTAATGACCGTATAAGGTATTTCTTCCGCCTTCCTAACGTGCCTCGTGGTGTAGTGATCAGCACTCTGAGCCGGTATTTCACAGGGCCGGTGATTCCATTCCCGGGGAAGGCGGTTGCTAATTTTTCAGCTTTCCTGTTTCCATATTACTTATTGTCTCTACAGTGGAGCCCGAACTAAAAGGGTGTTGGATAATGATTCAAGTCACCCAGGATTTGGCAATTGGATCCGGTAAAAACCCCAGTCGCCCTTTAAAAGGGGGAGTATGTAAGGTATTTCTCCCTCCTTCCTAGCGTCCCTTCGTGGTGTTGTGGTCAGCACACTTATAAGGTATTTCTCCCACTTCCCTAGCGGGCCTTCGGGGTGTAACGGTAGCACGCTGGGCCGATATTCCAGAGGCCGTGGTTCGATTCCCGACGAAAGCGGTTGCATATTTTTCATCTTTTCTGCTTCCAATTAACCTCATGACTTTACAAGGTCCGAACTAAAAGGGTTGTGGATGATGATTCTCCGCACCCAGGATTTGGCGACTAGGTTCCCTAAAACCCTAGTCGCCCTTTAAACAGGGGAGTATATAAGGTATTTCTCCCACTTCCCTAGCGTGCCTTCGTGGTGTAGTAGTTCTACACGCTGGGCTGGTATTCCAGAGGTCCGTGGTTCGATTCCCGGCGAAGGCGGTTGCTAAATTTTCATCTCTCTGGCTTCCAAAAAATCCTAATGACTCTACACACTGAACCGTTACTTCAGAGATCCGTGGTTCGATTTCCGGCGAAGGCGGTTGCTAACGTTTCACCTTTCCTGCTTCCAAATTACTTAATGTCTCAACAGTGACGCCCGAACTAAAAGAGTATTGGATCATGATTCTGCTCACCCAGGCTTTGGCGATTGAGTCCCCTAAAAACCCAGTCCAAAAGGGGGAGCATATAAGATATTTTTCCCGCCTTCCTAGCGTGCATTCGTGGGGCAGTGGTCATCACACCGAGCCGGTATTTCAGAGGTGCGTGGTTCGATTCCCGGCGAAGGATTTTTCACCTTTTTTGCTGCCAAATTACTTAATTTGTCTTCAGCCGTAAATCAAAAATAGCGTTCTCACAAAACTAAAAATTCTCACAAACTATTCGTAAACTAAAATAATATTTTAAATAAAACACCATCACTTTTCCAGAAGATAGTGTTTTACTTTGAAGATTATTTGTTATAGCTTTCCAAGATTAAGTTGACTAGTCACTTAGTGACTAATATTAATTAAGAAAGCCGTATTCAGAGTTCAAAAAAGATGTTCTTTAATAACAGTGTCGCAATTCTGGGTTTAGAATGTTTGCTCCAACTTTATTTATTGCTCTATTCTTCGTTTCCCGTGAGTATAGCACCCGAGGCAAAATCTGTGAACTCTAACGGAGTTCAAATCCTGCTGAACGGATTGGCGGCGCGTATCTTTTGGCGTTTTCACCATGTGAAACGTAAATTCTCTCTTTCTCGATGAAGACATCCTTTTCTTGCAAATTTCCTTTAGCCAAGAAAATAGTCCGGTCAGCTTCAGGATCTAAATTTAAGCTTTTGGAAATGTAAATAATTTTGTGGTCTCTCAATCCCTCAAGAAGCAGAAGCCATTTGAGTGTTAGTTTACCTCTGTAGTATTTCGAGTTGAAGTTAAAATAATTTAGTTGGTATAATTCTGTTGTGTTTACTTAGTGTTCTACTACTGCCACAAACACATTGGTCGCTTCTCTCAGGCCAAATCTGTGACGATAGGACATTACAACTATGAGCATATTATACTTGACAATAGCAGTACCTCCTTGCAAGCAATAGCAACCTTGCAGTATTCAAGAAAAATTGGTCGTCAGCATTTTCCCCTCAGTCTCAATAGCTCCAACTATGCACTTTCTTTCCATGTTCTGGTTCTTCTTTCAGTATTCTTCACTTAAGATAGTCCCGGATGACACAAAACTAAGCTCTACAATGCAGGGATGTGGAGTCGGTAGAGAAAATGACCGACTCCGACTCCCTCGTATATAATGTATATAAACACACCATGTATCCCATGTATATAAACACATATACATGGGTTACAGCTTATTTTTAATATAAAAGATACTACAGAAAAAATTGATGGCATAGCCAATTATTTATATTAATTAGCATTTATTACGAGACGGAAAAACTGGCATTAATTAATTCTAAGAAACAGTATAGCTTCGGCAAGATTTTCTTTGTTCGAGGGCCTTAGATCCGATTTGATAAACTTCCGAGCTGAGAAGAGTCTTTCTACACTGACTTGAGTAGGAGGAAGAGCTGTTACTGTTGGGGGGTACTTCTTTTAACTTTTGCGGGCAGATTTTTATAAGTTTTAAAAGAGGTGTCTTGCAAGCGCAATCATATTTCTCAATTTCTTCATAGGCCGTGTAGAAATCTTGTTTGTATTTTTTCATTTTTCTATCTAAAGGCTCTTGTTTTTTATTTTCACTCACTTTGCCTTAGCCTTTTCAATATTATCCAAAAATATTTCTCAAAATATAATTCATCAATGGAAAAGGATAATAGATACTCAACTGCAATGTTTGCAGTTTGACTGTCCTGATTCGAATTCTCCAATTATTCCGAGAATAATTTCATTCTTAATGAAAGTTCATAGATGACTTTTTTTTGCCTTTTTAATTTGTTCGACATCCAAGAAAACTCGGTGTTTCGGATCTCCATATATTGAACCCAGCAAGATCTCATTGTCTAGCTAACTAGTTTCTCTTTTTTTCATTGAAGAAATGATTCTTTATGCAATTAAGCCCTCCATTTCAGAAAGAACAAACATCCCATTCTTCCATTCCCGCCTCCTGTCAGTTCTTCAGATTGCAGCTTTTTTTGTGGCTATATACGGTATAGTAAGAAGAGTTTCCAATTCTGCAAGATTATTCCACAGTCTTTCTGTTAGTGAAACATTGGGGTTATCTACATCTTCTAAGAAAGTTCTTAATTCTAAAAAAACCTCTTTATCATCAAATATGTACTTCCTTATCGCATTGCTTGATCAATAATTGCTTCTTTTCCTGCTCGCTTCCTGAGAACGGCATCAATTTTAGGAGTTCCTGCTGCTATTGCTGCTTACCTAAATATACCAGTGAGATTTATAACTAAATGAATCATTTTAATCACTAATAGCAAATATCACATCCATTCTTATATTTATTTATTGATAGGTCAATAAAATAGAAAATAACTATTTATTGATCTATACAGTCCATAAATAAAAATAATAACTCAACTTGTCATTAATTGTTTTTCAATTCATTTCAAATTCAAACTGTTCATGGAGTCTGAGTCGACCTGTTTTTAGCGACTCCAGCTCCGACTCCTTTTACCCCAAAATCTGCCCGACTCCGACTCCACAACCCTGCTACAATGTAACCAATTCTCGAAGCTCATTCAACTCGTTTTGTCCACAGACAGTATCTAACAGATTGAATAGCCCAATGGGCCAGGTGTTCTGTCGATGTCGCAAAGTGATCTAGTACTAAAAGCTAAAGACGGGAAAAATCCGCTTGGCAGTCTATTTGGAGTACTTAAACCAAACTGAATTTAAATTTAAGGGGTACGGTCATTGTGTGTACACCTGCTAATACCCATGTGTACTAAAATTATTATAATTCGTTTTTGTGATATTCATTGTGCTGTGGCGGAATGAAACTATAATTGTAAAATATACAGGAATAGTTGTAATCAGAACTTCTATTACAGGGTATCTGTTGGTTGCAAAAGCTTTTTATCACCTTTATTTCTTTATTTTTTATATTCGGATATAAGCTAATAATGATTATTAGACAATTCTTATAAATTCCTCTCTTATATACCTATCTTACATAGTATCAGGCACAAGCAAATACAGATCTGATACCATGTTAAAATTAAGACACCATAACACGCCGAACAAATGCTAATTCAGAAGTCAAATAACAAAAATCAGCACTATATTTTCAAAATTTTCACAGGACTAGTTTCGATGGTTTTACCGAACCACCATCCTCAGATGCAAAACCGCAAAAATGATGGTGGTTTTGCAAAGTATTTGATGAACTTTACAAATGGGGATAAAACAATATTGAGAATTTTGATTTGATGCCTTTTAACCGTATTTTTGTTTTAATCTGCGTTTTAATTTTCTGTTTTAATCTTTTTAACTGTGTTTTTGTTTGTCTGTGTTGGGTAAGCTGCATTAACCATGAGGCCTATTATTATTGGCCAGGAGAGTTACAGCAGACTTGTATATTACATTACATTACAGATCTGATACCCTTTTGAATATAAACTTTCTTTTACTTACTTGTGCATAAAAGACTGGGAAAGAAGGGGAATAATTCAGTTGTTCTTGAGAGTTCGTTCATGAATGCGTTCGCATAAGGTAAATTGCTTTTATCTTCTAAGCCTGGATTCCTGTCTGGGCCAACGACTTCCAGCAGTTCCTCGTATATCTTTTCTTGTACTTCTGGATGTTGTACCAATGCAAGAAACAATCTTCCAACGAAAACTACAATAGCTTGATGACCATCTCCAGCAAACTGGGCAACTGAGGCAGCCAAAGCCTTTTCTGTCGAAAGAAAGCAAGATACAATAATAAAATTTTGAAATAAAACAAACTGTCATATAATATTAAATAAAAAGCGCAGGAAACTAAAAACAAAATTGATATTAAGTGAAAATAATGAATCAATTAGATTCTACAAGTATATATTACTTGGTACGACCAAAACGTGCTTTGAATGATTACTGACAATAACCACGGAAATTCTGGTTAAAACGTCTCTTCTTTCACTACATTTAAATGGACGGAGTGTCATCAGAATAACAATCTTTACTAATGGTGTTTTGATTTTTACAAAAAAGGAAATGGCAACAAAAGCTAAGTCCAAGAGAGGTGTGATGAAATATTATAAGGTATTTCACCAGCCTTCCTAGCATGCCTTCGTGATGTAGTGGTTTTGTTCGATTCCCGGCGAAGGTGGTTGCTAGCTTTTCACTTCTCCTGTTTCCAAATAACCTAATGACTCTACAGTGGCGCCCGAACTAAAAGGCTGTTGGATGAGAATTTTCCACACCCAGGATTTGGCGATTGGGTCCCCTAAAAACCCGATTCCCTAAAAACCCCAGTCGCCCTTTAAAAAGGGGAGTATATAAGGTACAGTATACTCCCGATTATCCGCGGAATTGGGTGGCGCGACCGCCGCGGATAATCCGAAAAAAGCTAAAAACGGTTATAGCAAAAGAGAAAACATTCATTCCAACTTTGAAAAATCGTTTTATGTACAATAAAACGTAAAATAAACAGCAGGAAATGTTTAACTAACGTTTAATAATTTTAGTATATCACTCAAAACTAACCTAAAATGCATTTTGTTAATGAAAACCGAAAATTGCTTTGTATTTACGAGAGGCGTCAAGGATACATATGTACTGTTTTGATACTGTAATGTATTATGTAATTACAAAAGCGTTAACTGTAAAACTACACCTTTTTGAAGAAATTAGTCATTTGTGTTTTCTTCTTGCTTTGGAAGCATTTTCTCTTGATCCGAGATTGCATTTTTCGTAGCATAAGTTTCTCGGTCAACTTCGCTTCGTCTTGTTCTTCCAAATAGCTAAGCAGGCCGTCGGCTTGTTGCAAAGCCGCTTCGTGAGTCTTCCGCATCTGCACAATGGGCTCTTCTTCGCCTTTACTTCGCTCTCTTTCATTCTCGGTCTCTTCCCTTGCTTTCTTCACAATTTCGTCATCTGTCAAGCGTTCGAAGCCAGGTTCGTTGACGTTACACTCTAACCACTCGTTAATGTTTTCAGCATCGACGTTCTCACCACCCGGTACTGTTTTCACCATATCGGCAAGAGTTGCCGTGGGCGGGTCTACATCTTCATTCTCTTCTTCACAACTCAAAGGGGTTAAATTGTTGTTGGCTTCAACTTTAGGCATGATTTTTCTCCATAATTTTATGAGGGTTGACGGTTTCACTGAGTCCCATGCAGATGCAATATCGTAGATGCTGTCCAAGATTGTGTAGTGTTTCCAAACCTCTTTCGGATCATCACCTTCTTCGATTTTGGTCATTAGCAGCTTGGTTCGGTATGTTCTCTTCATTGTTGCAATGACTCCTTGGTCCATGGGTTGGATTAGCGCAGTAACGTTTGGGGGGAGAAACTTTGCAAATATTTTTCCATCAGAAGACTTAAGCACGCTTGTTGATGGGTGAGAAGGTGCGTTGTCGATCAATAGCACAGACCTTTTAGGCAGGTTTTTCGATTTAAGATGTTTACGCACTTGAAGAACAAAGATTTTTTCGAACCATTCTTGAAAAATGTTTCGGTTCATCCATCGTTTTTTTTTTTTTTTTTTTTTTTTTGGTTAAAGTAATCAACGGACAAATTTTCTATCCTTGTGCCTTTGAAAGATCTCGGTTTTTTTTGACTTTCCAATGACAACAAGTCTAAGTTTATGTCCACCGGTAGCGTTACTGCAAGACATGATAGTGATCCTTTCCTTGCTGCTTTTATGACCCGCCGCTTTACTTTCACTTTCAAATGCTAACGTACAAGTGGGAAGACATTTCTACAGTCCCGATTCGTCGGCATTGTAAATTTGTTCAAAAGATAGCTCTTCTTTTAAAAACAATTCTTCAAATTCATGGTGGAAATCGTCTGCTGCTTGTTGGTCCCCACTAAGTTTCTCCCCATGAAGTCCAATTTCTCGAATTCCATGTCGCTGCTTTAAACGAGTCAACCAGCCAGAAAACGCATCAAAATTTTCTTTCAGGCCTAACAACTCAAAAAAGGTTTTCGCCAATGACTAGGACCATTTACAGGAGTACACTCTTTTCGAACTTGAGCTAACCACTCTGTCAATGCCGTGTCTAGCTCATCAAAGGTAGAACCCTTCATAGTTTTTCAAGTTTTCATTGCGGAAGCACTGTCCGACATTGATGCAAAGTTCACCAGTTTGTCTTTTTGCTTTACAATGTCACGCACTGTTGTTTCCGCGATTCCGCAATCCAATTCCATCTGCAGCCGTTTGCTACTTGTAGCGCCGCTTGCTACTTTGGAAATTATTTCTAGTTTTTGCGCAATCGTCAACACAACCTTCTTTCGTTTTTCTGGCATTTTAAATCGGTAACGAAAAACACAAAACCAAAACGCACAAGCACTGAACACAATAAAAGATAAGAAATTAACTCCGGCCGGTTCGCAAACACTATCAGGCTTAAACTAACAATGGCGAGTGGGAGGAAGTGGACGTCTCAGTAAGATTATAAGACGAGAGAGGACTGTGGAGCGGGCACTGCAAGGGTGAGTAAAGAATCACTTACTCATCAGAGGGGAAGGTTCCGAGAAGGCCGAGGGGAAAGTTCCGAGAAAGCCTGGGATATTTTTGCCATAAATAAGCCAGATGTTAGCAAATTTAACGTTTCGCTCAGTTTTTGAACATTTTTATTTTCTTTGCTTTACGCACTGTATTTCTTCCGCTTTCCTAGCGTGCCTTCGTGGTGGAGTGGTTCTGCACGCTGGGCCGGTATCCCAGAGGACCGTGGTTCGATTACCTACGAAGGCGGTTGCTTTTTCATTTTGCTTTCTTCCAAAAGTGCCTAATGTCTCTACAAGTTCTAAAAAGGTGGAATTAATTAAACTACCAGAAAGATGGCAAAAGGTCATTAAACAGAATGGGAGATATTTGAAGAATTAAAGTTAATTTTTTTGTGTAGAAAAAAGAAACTGAGTTTTATTTCTCACTAAAAGCACGAATATTACTTTCTTGACAACCCAATATTTCCTTATAAGTTCTTTACCTTGGCAGGTCTAAATTCCTACTTACTGAAAGGTTTTTCAGCTGGGTATTGGTACTCTGGTGTAATTGCAACTGAGCTCCCGTTCGCCGTAAAACTTGCACAACTCTTTACTTTGAGCAAGTATCGTGGGTAACTAGACAAAGCGCATAAAAAAAGAAACTAACAGAAAGCAATCTGTTAGTAAAACTTTTTTTACAAATGGCGGTCACTTGACTGTAACGACATTGGCCACTACTAAGGACAGAAATGGTGGCCATTTTATTATGAAAGCACCTAATAGGCGGCCACCGCTAGCACCTATGAAGGGACAGACAATTTTACATCCGTGCTAATCCGGGATTTCGACCCGGGCCCTTTGGTATCGCAGTCAGGCTTCCCTAACCATGATACCGTTTGGGCAGCTGTTACTTGACCATTTCTTAATATGTTGTTATGCGTTACGAGTTCGTACAAATTGAACCACTATACCGTCTGGGCGGTTGTATAGTGGTTAGTATATAGAGACATTAGGTTGTTTGAAAGTAGGAAGGATTAAAAATTACCAACCCCTTCGCCAACTTCACAACCACGGACTTCTGGAACACCGGCCCAGCGTGCAGAACCACTACACCACGAAAGCACGCTGGGAAAACGGGAGAAATACCTTATAAGTAAAGCTTAACCATAAAATACAATATCACAATACTTGTAAAATATTCAGCAGTGGGATCGCCCTTTCGCCGTCGCTCGTTTCGTTCTTTCAGATAGGCATCGATTATGTTTCGGTTGTGATTTTCCTCCAGGGTGTTCTCGTGCTGGTCTATTACTTCCAACAAGATGGCTTCCACTTGATTTTTCCCAGCAATGTATCCCTGACAAGCGGATTTGAAAGGGATGATGAAATACCTGAAAAAAAAGAAGGTTTAGAAATATGAAGTAATATGAAATAAAAACTTATTGGTCAAGCAGTTTTCATATTTGGAAATCTGATGTAATTTTAGTAAATATGCGAAAAGTTAAAAGAATAAAAATTATTGGTCAAGCAGTTTTCATATTTGGAAATCTGATGTAATTTTAGTAAATATGCGAAAAGTGACTATATACTGATCGTAGCAACTATATTAATCTTAATATGAAGTACAGCGAACCCTGTCGAAGAGATACCTCTAAAAGCAACCAATATTTGTGAAAACGTAAATACACATTGGAACTGAATGTTACTTCTCTAATAAGAACAAAAGACCTAAATTACTTGGAATCATGAATGGTTGTTTTAGAGAGGATTCACTATATTACCAACTCTCAAGGGCTAATGTCAACCGTAAGCTTTCATAAAGAGATAAAGCAATGCTTTTAGCCTGAAGATCACCATTCAGAGACAGTGTGGAGATTATTACATTCTTCGAAACAGAAAACATGAAAAATTACCTGTACCGCTACCGAGATACAAAACATGGAACTTCCAGTTGCTGACCACTTAAAGCATGACAGAACGCACAAGTGAATGCAAGGATTACTTATAATATCCCGTCGGGATAGGCAAATAAACTGGAGTTTCGAATTGAATGTTTCGTGCAGGATCCAAGTTCTCAACCCGAATGGGTTCTATTGATCAAAGCTCAAGGAAGGATGAAAAGAACTCATTTCTAAGTTAAAACTCTGTGAATGTTACACTCCTCCCCTTCTTCACGTATTTGTCCAACATAAAAATAGCTTTCTCTTTCTTCTGTAAATCTATCTCTTACGTGTCATCTGTGAATTTGTAAGTTTAATTTATTTTTTGGTTGTGTTGTTGTATTTTTTTTACTTACCTTTGTAAGCCTTGTGTAATAATACTATGTGGTGCACAAGGAATTTAAAATTTTCAATTAAAAAAAAAGCTAAGTAAATGAGTAGTATTTTATATATTGGGCCATATAAAAAGTCTTCGTAGTTTTTTTGGTATATTTTTTAACAATTTTCTTCACTGATAATCAATTTCAATCGAGTACATATTGACTATTATTATCTATGACCTTTTGCCGTTTTTCGGTTAGCTTCATAATTCCAACGGTGTAGAACTTCTGTGGTTTATCGTTGAAAAACTTGTCCAAGTAAATTCAGTCGGCCAATTGTTTTCCATCAAGAGAGTTTTGCAAAGACCGAAACAAATGGTAGTCAAACGGTGCAAGGTCCGGGATATACTATGGATGCATCAAAACTTCCCAACTAAGTTCCGTGTCATCAAAGATGTGTGGCCGCGCATTGTCATGACAAAACGCAACTCCATTTCTGTTGGCCAATTCTGGTCGATTTTTCTGGATTGCTTTCTTAAACCGGTCGTGTTGTGCACAGTACAGGGTCGAATTGATGGTTTCGCCAAGTTGCAGCAGCTCATATTGAACAGTTCCTCATGTGGCAACCAAACAGCGATCTTCTTCTTGCAGCTTGCTCTTTTCAGATGATTCCAAACTGTCATATGGTTGATGCTTACTTCCTGACAGCTTGCGTGGCGGTCTTGCTCCACCAGTTGCAAAATTTCATCGACTTTTCCAGTGACTGGCCGACCAGAGCGAGGTGCATCTTTGGCATCGAAATTTCCGGAACGAACTGAAGAAACAACTCTTCGGTACTTCGTTCACTCATAGCGTTCTCACGTTCACAAATTTTTCGGTACAATTACTGTAAAAAAGCATCACCATGTGTATTTCTACAGATATTTCCCTCATTTTTCAAATCAATATAATTTTTTACACGAGCAACGAATTAGAAAACAATCTTCACAAACAATGGAGCTTGAAAGTCCCCTGGTTATGATTTTTTAAAAGTTATGAAAATGTAAGCATAATGACATGCAATGGTCCTATAGACAACATATATGAGTTTAAAAAATTATTTTTCGTCCCCCTTTATTTCCATAAAGGTTTCGCCTTGAAAGGGACCGGTTTCGCCTTGAAACCAGCGCCCGTCTAAAGCATTCAAGACTAAACATTTGCTTATTTATCTTTACTTTGCTGGAAAGTATCTGAACGTAACCCAAATTGCAGATTATACTAGTAAATTACTGAACACAATTGAAGTAAGTAATATTTGCATAAACACGCATTTTTAATTACAAATAAAAAAATTTAAAACAGGAAACAAAAATATGAGACAAAAAGTGACTAATAATGCACTAAATTACTTACATAAAACTATGAAATATTTTTTAAAATTATGTTAAAAACTAAGAAAATTATATTTGAAAATAAAATAAATTTAGATGCATACAAATATTTTACTATGAACTAGAAACATGAGAAAAGCGACGGCTAGGAGAAGCAGAATAAAAACGCAACTGTGAGTGTTCTTCAGTGTGTGCTCTGCGTCTCTGTAAAAAATAAATGTTTTCCCTCTCTCAAAATCCCATAAATCCTCATCTTTGAAGCCACTCAAACGAAGATACGGAGCACTGTTTACAGCAGTGATCCGAAAGCAATAAACACAGCTGTAAAAAATCTCGCGACAGCGTCATCTGGTCCTTTCTTCGATGTCCCAGAGGGGCGATGGTTTCATACTGAAACCGCGGTAAAAACATTCAAAATTAAAGGGGTTCCATTACTTTTTTTGTGAACTACGAACATTCCATTAATCATTGATGCCTGCTTATAAAATATATTGTGGAAAAATTAAAAATTGTTGTGTATTTTGTTTTTAAAATAGCCCAAAAAGGAATAGTGTCTAAACCAAGCTATTTTTGAATGATTCGTTTTGGTGCTGCCATCTGTTATCAGCTTGAAGAAGTAATTTAATTTTAGCAGCGGTTTTGAGAAAATGAAACTAAATTCTCTAAATTAAAAAAAAAAAAAAAAAAAAAAAAAAAAAAATGTTGAAAATGCGGTTTCAAGGCGAAATCACCGCCCCTGAAAGGGTTAAAGCACATGTTCGTTTGAGAAAATCGGGTGAGTATTGTCGGATATATAGGCATCAACACCATCTAGTGGCAAAAATTCCGCGGAGACTTTTTATATGCCCCAATATTCAGTTGTTAAAATACAATTTTAAACCAAAATCTACTTTAGTAGGAGAAAGTAAAATTTACTTTGCTATATTTCCAAAAAGAAACACATTAGGTGTAAGCAAGCCTTCGACCGCAGCTATGTAACCTTCAATAAATTTACGAAACTGCTCCACGGTGATGCCATCCTCTCCGAAGAACGTGCAACGCGCTGTGTCCATCAATTTGGTATTCACCATCTCAACAATATCCACAGGTTCACCATTTAGGCTACGTAGGTCTTTCATGGTGGAATCAATAGTATCATACACAGGTCCTGTCACGTTATCTTGCATGGATTTCAACCCAATATCTTTGAAGGCACTAAGGAAAAATTTGCGAAGAGTTTTCCAAACTTCCCCATTGCTAAAAAGAATGCCTGTAAAGCAATTTCATGATATAAAACATATCCATAATCATACATAAAATGTTATCAGAAAAGATTTGCAATAACATTAAGAATGAAGCATTAACAAACTCAAAAATTAATGAGAAGGCTTTATAATAACATTATAAAGACTGGCTGAATTTTTAGAGTTTTAAATGTAAACAACTTGAACGGTTTGTGAATTGTTTTACGAATGTGCTAAAAATACTGAAATTGGAAAATTTAATACATTTACACAATTTTTTTTTTATGTATATAATAAAATTCGATGATTATATTAATGAAATATTTAACCTTAATCATGAAAAATTTTTCCTGATTTAGATGAACTATAAACAAAATACGAGGGTCACTGTTTAAATGTTTGATATACATACAGAGTGTTAAAGTTATACCTACGAAATTTTAGGAGTGTTCAAAGTAGTCTTCTCCAGCAACAAAGCACTTCTATGCCTCAAGCAATTCATTTCTTAGAATCGATAAAAAAATGCATTCATTTCGTTTTTATATTAAAAAATAGCCAAAAGTCACACTTAGCTAGATCACACTTAGAGGGTCACATTAGTCACACTTAGAGGGGTGGATGTTCTATCACTTTGATATGTTTTTGGCCAAGAAACTGAATTGTGAATTTTGCTGAATGAGAAGATGCATTAGCATGGTGGAACAATTCATTTCTTGATGAATTTCTGGAAGACACTTATTGATGTAACAGTTAGCTGTGACTGTCTTCTGCCCTTTGAGCTTGAAGACTTTGGCCAGTCCATTAGTTCTGAAGAAAGCGGCATACATTACGTTTTTCATGCCACGTTATCTTTTCACCAGTGTGGTCGTAGGATCGGCTTTGGCTAGTCCATTAGTTCTGAAGAAAGCGGCATACATTACGTTTTTCATGCCACGTTATCTTTTCCACCAGTGTGGTCGTAGGATCGGCTTTGGCTAGTCCATTAGTTCTGAAGAAAGCGGCATACATTACGTTTTTCATGCCACGTTATCTTTTTACCAGTGTGGTCGTAGGATCGGCTTTGGCTAGTCCATTAGTTCTGAAGAAAGCGGCATACATTACGTTTTTCATGCCACGTTATCTTTTCACCAGTGTGGTCGTAGGATCGGCTTTGGCTAGTCCATTAGTTCTGAAGAAAGCGGCATACATTACGTTTTTCATGCCACGTTATCTTTTCACCAGTGTGGTCGTAGGATCGGCTTTGGCCAGTTCATTAGTTCTGAAGAAAGCGGCATACATTACGTTTTTCATGCCACATTATCTTTTCACCAGTGTGGGCGTAGGATCATCTTCAAAGACCCGCAATTTACTTTCTTCACGTGCTGAAACGTCAAAAAAATGGTATGTACGTTTCGTCACCAGAATTTGCACTTTTTAAATAATGCGCTGGCCGTTATCTTTAAGTAATTTAAGGGTTTCTTTATTAATTCTGACACGCTTTTGTTTTTGGTGCTTAGTTAAATTATGGGGAAGACAACAGCAAACTAGTGTTTTCATGCGCAATTCTTCACGAATAATTTTATGTATGAAGGCGGGTCTACTGTTAAGTTAATTCTGTATTATTTGGTAGGTGCAGCAATTATCATCGATTAACATATTCCGTATTTCAGGCACATTATCCGGGATTACCGTTGACAACGACCTTCCTGTGTGTTCATCATCCTGAAGAGGGGTTGCAACCTCTTTGAAATTCTGTAGAACATCTGAATACAGTACTACAAGATGGACCTTCATTTCCAAATGTTAATTGTAAACACTGCACGCATTTCCTTGCTGTAATCCCACTTTAAAAGCATGGAAAATCACAGCGCAATAATGTTATCGCATCAACTCCATTTTTTCTTCTGCCCAAAATTTATTCTGCACTAAACTACTTGCAATTGGCCAATAAAAAATTATCTGCTAGGGTAAAATAGTTCACATTTTCATATCTAACCATTAAGTTTTTTCCCTGCCGTTCATCGTCTACGGGTATCTCAAAAATTTCAGAGTGGCCCACGTATTCTAGTCTATATAAGGAAACATGTTTTGTATTCCATTGCAGTGATGTTCTCCGTTTGCAGTGAAATTTTGGTAACGATTGCACAAACTTTGAAACCTGCAAGGGGGGGACACGCTTTCGGCTTAGGTATAATTGTTAGTGTCGCTGACTGCCGTGCCGATGGGCTCGGGTTCAAATCACGGAGAACGCATGGATGTTTGTGTATAGTGTCCGTGCGGCACGGGGCACTCTATATGCGGCTAGCCAAAAGTCTTTTCCGAGAGGTTGTGGCAGGGAAAGAGAGATGGGAGATCCTCGGAAGCTCACTCGGGATGCTCTCGATCATAATTGGCGGGGGGGGGGAATTGAGCTAAATCGCAGTGTCACCATTAAGCTGCTCAAGGCTGTTGCCAACGACAGGCATATCTTGCGCTTCTTACTAAGAGGAATTTCGTGGGCTTGGGGTTAATATAGGTCAGACAAGTCAGCATTAGTCAACAACAACAACCCTAATAGCATGGTTAAGCAATGTCCGGATTTTTTTTTTTTTTATTTATTTATTGTTCTCTTTCGAGAATACAAAGAAATGTGCCAGAGCAATATCAGATGAGTACGACTGTTGAATAACGGCTACAGGTCGTAAATAGTTTCCTGACGATTGCCGGACGTGGACGGGCATTCTGATGGAGAAGGAACGAGGAGCACCTCTGTACGGAGTTAGTGTTACCAGATCTCTGTATTTTTCGCAACTCTGCTACTTTTGAGAAATCTGTGCTACTAAAACTTATGTCTCTGAGATTTTGCGAAGTTTGTGTCATTCATCACTTTCTTGTGCTACGCTTCGTTAACTTACAAATTTTTAATGTATCTCAAAATGTGTACATGATAATACAACGCATCTATTAAAATTAATGTATAATACAAAGTAATAATTTAATTAATTTTAATTAAAAGTTAGCAACTGGCAATTTTGCAATCGTGAGTGCATGGGCACTCGGTTTGCAACGCTAGTATTGTCACATGTCTGATGGTAATGTGTGAAGAGGGTTCCAAAGTTTGTCAGGTTTTGTAATTGCCTTGTTAATTAAAATATGTATTATAAATAAAACAGAGAGAAAAGCGTATATAAAATATATAATAAGAAAATAAATCCCTAATAAGCTACTAACTTAATTAGCAATTGCTTTTTAAATTTCTTCTTGAGATTTTTATGTTCCCCTCCTGCCATCTGCGATGCATGAAAATTTCTTTTGTCTGCGCCATTTCTAGATTAAGCCACATATATGACTTAACAACGTTGATGACGTAACTAATTCCGAACGTAAGCCGAAACCTTCTCTTAATGAGCAACTTAAGCCGAACTTTCTTTTCGTGAACTTCTATATTGATTAATTGCGCGCTTTTGCTTCTACTTCTCTTGCCGCCCGCAAAATCTTGCCGCCGGTCAATACTTTTTCTCTTCTGTTTTAAAAATGTAATGTCATACAAAAATCCTGGGGTGCTTATTCGCCACCTTAATGTACTGATGAGAAAAAAAGTATCTTTTAAGAATGTTAAAAATAAAACTATGTGTTAACTCACGGCACGATTATCTGCAAATTATTCATCCTTCTGCTACGCGGTTATGCCATCGCCATCCGGCCATCAGCTTACTACAACGACTGCCAGAAATCTCTCTTCGTCAAAAGGTTCATTCCAACACCACTAATTATATTTTCATTACAATTTAGAGGCGGCAGGAAATTTTATTGCCTCGCTGAATTCCAATGGACTTTCTCAAAAGTTTCAGTCAAAAATCTAATCATTACAATTTAGCCACTTCGAACTCTACTGGAAGATAAATTATGACATCAGTGAAACGTGTTTGTGCATCAAGTTAAAAACGAATCATGCAGAATATTTCCTGTCCTTTGCGTACTGTTATGGATGTCATTAAAAGATCTTTCAAAGTACGTGCTCAGGAAGATCTCTATCATCGTGTTTCTCATAAGTCTTGGAAGAATGCTATCCCGAATTTGTGTAATGGCCCAAGGCGTAGAGCGGTCGCTGAATTCCGCCTTGCCACCGGACATGGCTGCCTACGATATCATATCCACAGGTTCAAAATTGTTCCTTCTCCAATATGCACTCTGTGTAGCTCTGGAGAGGTAATAGACGCTGCACATCTACTCCAATGTCCTGCTCTGCGCAAGACCTTTCTTGCCGAGCGTTACTGGGAGGCAAGAGATATGTTAGATTAATGGACTCTGTTAGAGCTTTTTTTTATATTGTGTTGCTGTATTCTTTTTCTTGTTTTTTTGCTGCAACTGTTCATAATCTGCCATTGGAAATAAAGAAAAAAGTTAAAAGCGAAATGCTGTTTTTACTATTCAGTCCAGCGAATCTTTCTTCGAAAAGAAAAAATGTAAAAAAATGCCCTTCCAGTAACTCTGTGAAGGCCAATCAACAGTGTTGAGCATTAGGTAAACACAGGGCGTTTCCGAAGTGAAGTAATATCGAATTTGTTTTATTCGTCATATGCAGGTTAAAATTGGGTGATATAGCGCATCATTACATACATATATCCATCTAACTCTCTGAAGGCCAAAACGCTCGAGACGTCCTATCATTCAAACGACCACAGCCGCCCGAAACGGCAGAAACTACGATGTTGTATTCTTCCTTCCCCCTAAGGTATGCAGTAGCAGGTGCAGTTTCCTCAAATGCATTGTATGAGTTTACTGCAGACAGCTTGTCCTAAAAGGCTAATGGAAACTTCTTTGTTAGGAAGTAGAAAGAATGCCATTTAAAATCTTCACATTTCATTTTGCGTTAATGAACGGGGAAGGCAGGAAACGAACGAGGACAGGCATTTCGGTATTTTAAACAAGCAGGTTAGCAAACGCTTTGGTTTCTAAGGATTAAAATACAATACAGTGATCAAATTAATCAAAATTATGATTAAACTTTAATTTGTCACTACGCGTGTGGTTGTAATAATTTCAGAATTATAAAATGCTCTCTGGTACATTTCGCAGTCATTTATATGCGTTTTTCTCTGATCCCTTTAATGTCCTGTAAGTGAGAAATGATTAACTAATCGTTATTAGAGATTTAACATAAAAACACTGTTAAAAATCTATAAAACAAAATGCATCTTCGTAATTAGAACAATAAATGTATTAATTCAGCAATGAAATTTCATTTAACTTTTACGGAGTAAAGAGTTTTTAATGCAAACGTTACCGAGATATGTCTGCACTTAAAGAGTATATACTTCTTCAGCACTTGCATATACAGCTAAAACTTTAATTATTATGAAAACTAAAAGCAAGAAGATGAAAATCCTGGACTACGTATAATTACCCTCATGAAAGAGAATAGTCATTGGATTGAAATCGGTGGATCTGCCGCTAAAGTGGTCCGAATTAGTAACGTGGGCTTCACGCATGGCTTTCAGGCTTCCCAAGTTGATAAACAGCGTACCAGCCACTCTGAAGCTGGAGACGTCTCCGTACTTCTGTACGTACTTATCCAACTGCAAATGCAAATTTTGGTTATTCATAAATGGATAAATGCCGAATATAGGCAGTCCGGTGGGACCTGGTGGCAACCCTCTGTCTCTTGTGACGTAGTAGATGAAAGCTAATAAGACAGCTACCACAGTAATAATCAGTGAGAAAGGAGACGCATTCAAAACACCTTGAACATAGCCAGCAACCATCTTGGATGTCTATATATTGTAAACGGAACCTACAAACAAAATATTTACTATCAAACATGGAAGTGACTTAAAATTATCTATACAGAAACTTAAGAATTGTGATCTATTTAATGCTAAATATATATTCTAAAAATATTTGATAGAATCGCTTTGTATATTTCGAACTAAAATGTATGATATTATAACAAAAATATATCAAATCAATTCAATGAATCCGGTACTTAACAACTTCAATATCGTTATCACATTTAACTTTGGGGAATCTTTAGCAAACGTGAAATATCCCAACAAGAATTGTATGTATGTATTTGATTATGGCAAAGCACACTAGAGCTATCTGCCTAAGGGGAGGGATGCCTTCGTGGAGGACTTTCTATGGGGAACTGACTCGTATACACGTTACACATGGGGAAAACCACGAAAACGCCAATGTAGCCAGCCTGTTCGCGGGATTCGAACCTCGGACCGAACTACCAGTGTTCAGCGACTTTACCGCTCGGCCGCTGGTGGGCCCCCCAACAAGGAAAAAAGATAAGGATGTTTTTCCATAGTATACCTTCAAAAGATAGTTTTTTAAATATTATTGTTGGGTGCGTACGGGTTCGTAACAGATTGAAAGCACATGTCCGATTATACGTTATAAGGTATTTCTCCCGCCTTCCTAGCGTGCCTTCGTGGTGTAGTGGTCAGCACTGAGCCGGTATTTCAGAGGACCGTGGTTCGATTACTGGCGAAAGCGGTTGCTGATTTTTCATCTCTCTAGCTTCCAGTTAACCTAATGTCTACTACAGTGGCGCCCGAACTAAAAGGGTTGTGGATGATTATTATCCGCACCCAGGATTTGGCGACTAGGTCCCTTAAAACCCTAGTCGCCCTTTGAAAGGGGGGAGTATATGAGGTATTTCTCCAGCCTTCGTGGTGTAGTGGTCAGCACACTGAGCAGGTATTTCAGAAGTCAGTGTTTCGATTCCCGACGAAGGCGGTTGCTAATTTTTCATCTCTCTGGATTCCAATTAACCTAATGTCTCTACAAGGTTAATAAACTTTATTTTTTTTTCAAAAGATATATTTCAGAACTCTGGAATTTTCCTCAGAGATATTCGTACGAATGTTCACCTTATCACACAGTCTAATCAGTAGCTACACTTCAAACTACTAAGAACGTAAAACACAACGTAATGCGAAGTGCATCTAAAGAGAAAGCTAACTAGGATATCTCAGTACGTTCAACTGGAACTTAACTACTCGCAGCCACAATAACTAAGCAACTGAGAGCACAGGCTCTCTCTCTTCGGCTTTAAACAGTTCTCAACCGTCCGCGAGATATTTCTAGTACTTTCTGCTTCTCGAAATTCCTGGAAAGCAATAGAGGGTAGAATTACGGTTACAGCTAACATAGTGGTCAATTGCATTTATCCAACTTATCAGCACACTAAGAGTTTTCGAGAATTGCATTATTGAACAGGCCAAGGAGTGATTTTTCTCGAGAAGTTTTCGGAAACACTTCCTCCTTACTAACTCTATGAGAAAGGAGGTTGGTTTCGTTTTATTTATGTGATTATAGCAAAACCTCAGGGCTATCTGCTTAAGGGATGGGATGCCTTCGTGAAGAACTTCCTAAGGGAAACTGCCTCGTAAATACCTGACACACGCGGAAAACCACGGAAACGCCCACGCAGTAACGCAATAAAGGTACTATTCTAATAATACCTTTTCTCTATGGAGATAGAATGATCAAACCTTTATGAGGTTTTTGTTTTTTTGTTCTTTTTTGTCTTTGCGGTGAATAAGATTCACGGACCGAACTACCAGTGTTCAGCGACTTTACAGCTCGTCCGCTGGTGGGCCTGAAAAACGAGGTTGCGATTGGCTGTAAATCAGCTAAATTGAGGCTTTAGGTCAATTTAGCTGCTCAGCCACTTGCTGGATGATTTAAGCTGCCTGTAACATGCCTAACGTGTTTAAAAGAGAATTTCATTCGTTCTCTGCAACTGTTTAACGATGTTTATGACTTTTTAACTTGCTGTAAAAGCTGTTATTTATATCAATAAAGATTCAAAACTTTCTTTCATCTGGCCTAATAAAAAAGCTTAAAATGACCTGCATGAATTCGCGCACGCAATAATATTTATTTGTTTCTCTCGGAAAAGAGCAGAGCGAAATTCTCGCACTTTTCTTTTTTTTTCCCACTTGGATTTTGTTTCACCCACGCAGCGGCATATTGGAAATTGAAATACAGTACAAAGTCCGTGAAGCTGTCTCCACTAGTGATGAGTCGGTACTACCGAACCGGGTATTTTGTAACGGGGACTTAGTTGTAACGGGTACTGAAAATCGGTACATCCAAGTACCCGTTACTTCAGTACCGAAATCGGTACTTTTCGGTATTCGTTACTTCTGTACCGAAACGGGCACTTTTCGGTATTCGTTACTTCTGTACCGAAACGGGTACTTTTCGGTATTCGTTATTTCTGTACCGAAACGGGTGCATTTCGGTATTCGTTACTTTGTAACGAAAATATGCGTCTCTTCTCGGTATTTCAGTATTCGTTACTGGAGGATCGATGAGGGTTCAGCTCACTTCGGCTTTGGTACGAGGACAGTAGTATCTGGTTGTATTTGCGAAATGGTGATATGCGCTCCTTGTGTCCATGAATGGTCTGCTCCTCAGACACTTCCGTAGTTGACATGTTTTCTGATATTCAAAATCTTACTCCGTACAGATAAAATCAAACACGTGGTGACGTGGCAGAGTTCCTTCAGTGCGCAAAATCGTTAGCTGCGTATTTCAGTACTCCAAATCGTTACTAGGGCACTTCGGTACTCCAAATCGTTACTAGGGCACTTCGGTACTCCAAATCCGTTACTAGGGTACTTTGGTACTCCAAATCGTTACTAGGGTACTCGGGTACAGTAAACCGTTACTCCGGTATTTCGTCACTTCGGTACTCCAAATCGTTACTTGGGTACTCGGTACTTGAAATCGGTTTTCGGTACTTTTCAAAGTAACGGTTACTTGAGTAACGGGTATTTTGTACCGGGTACTTGTCTGTACCCGTTACTCTCGTCCCGGGTACAAGAATGTACCGAAGTTGCCCATCACTAGTCTCCACCGTGATAGCTGATAACCTGGAGGCTGTGTCGCTAATCGTGTTAGCGTGTTTATAGTAATTCATCGACGACTGTAAAAACGTGCTTTGGAGCTGTCCTGACAATACTGGCCCATAAAGTATGTTTCGATACTTTATCAAGTAATTGTCGTTATTCACTCCAATTCCACACGAACCCCGTACGAACGCGAAGGAAGGATATAATGTAATAACTGGTGTCAGAAGAAAAAAAAACGCAACAATATTACTTTTACTAAATTGCGTATTATTTATTTACGTAAACATTGTTGCTGGTATACCGCCACCAGCCCGAAATGTTAATTTAAATCTTTGACCGTGAAATTTTTGACAACGTTATTGCAAGATAAATTCAAGATTGGAAAAGCTTCGTCAATCTTTACTACACACTCTGATGCAACACTATTGTCCTGAATATAATTATTTAACAAAAACAAAATATCTGTTATTTCGCCCAAACGTGCAATCGATACCGGTTTCTAATCAATGCGGAAAATTGTTTCAAATTAAGAAATGAAAAGTCTGGTGCAAAACATGTAAGAACTTCCTTAACAGGAAATTCACTTACAGACAATTTTATTCCTCCTCAAATGAATCGCTTATCAACACAAAATTTCGCGTATTTTAATATTCCTAGCCTAAGGCAGCTTGAAAAAGAATGTGTAGAAAAAAAGAATTAGTTTTAGCATACTGCATTTTAGTATGGTAATAGCATAAATGATATTACGAAAAATACTGAAATTAATTCAAGAAAAAACTTTAAAATATTACAAATCATTTATACTAAAATATACAGCTTACGCTTATTATAACAACGTATCACCTGTAGCCGCCCAACCGGTATAAGTGTTAGCGTCGCTGACTGCCGTGCCGATGGGCCAGAGCTCGAATCCCAGAAAAGGCATGGATGTCTGTAAACTTATAATGCATTTACACGTACGTTTGTAAACGTATAAACGCATTTATACGTACGTTTGCAAACGTATAAACGCATGGGGGCTCTCTAATAGTGCGGCGAGCCAAAAGTCCTCTCCAGAGATTGGTGGTAGGAAAAAAAGGGGCTGGAGACCGACCCGTATCCCGACCGACTACGGAGGGGGGATACGGGTCCGTATTCTGACCCGTATCCCCCCTCCGGAGTTCTGTCCATCGAAATTGGGGGCGGAACTGTGTTAAATCGCACTGTCACCTGTAAGCTGCAAGGCTGTTGCCAACGACAGGAGTAAATTTGCGCTCCTTTGCCACGAGGGATATCGTGGTCTTGAGCTCACTATAGATCATACAAGTGAGCATTAGCAACAACATGTCTCACGTGTTCTATTGAAAACGACTTTCTCGCGTTCTACAAAGAAACAGAAGACACTGCTATAATATAAAGGAAGATTTTATATGATTGCCATCAGGTTGGTAATTTTGGCACTAATCATTATCATTGTCGACTATTTTATTAAACAGCTATGTTTCTCAATATTAGAACAAACTCTCAGACAAGAAAAGTGAAAACTCAGAACTGAGTTTTCTGTTATTCGCACAGCTCTAACAGTGGTCGAATGATAAGACTGTCTGTTGGAAGTTCTGGAGTTAGAACCGCGTTTGATCCCAGGTGAATATACTGGCTGCATGACTGGTTGACGCCATTTTCCCCATATATAACGTGAATACAAGACAGTTTCCCCTAGGAAGTCCTCCACGAAGGCATCGCACCGCTTAGACAGATATCCCTTTTGTGCTTTCCCATATTCAAATAACTAATTTCTGGAATTGAAGCGTGGTTCCTGAAAATGCTGTCAGAAAATTCAGGATTATAGTATAAGTTAATTCGACCTCTAGACGGAGAACTGAAGCCCCTTGGAGAAGGTAACAGGAGACGTATCACAAGAATGGATCAAAGACATTAAGCA